AAAAATAAATAAAAATAAAAGATTTTGGTAACATACAAAAAGAAGAAAAGCATAATGCAAAATTTTATATGTATAACATAACAAAGTAAAAACATGAATTTGTAGGGACAGATAGGGGGAAGTAGGCAATACAGGGCATGACCTGGGTGGCTGACATGAAAGAGATGATCACACACTTACATCGCATGATGTACTTTGGGAGGTTGCCCTCTGTTGTGCCCCCAGACCCCAAGAACATTTGCTAATCCCAGAAACAAAGGCTAAGACCCTGGTTGGCCTAGATTATACTAATCAGTAAAATAATTATTTTTAGGAATCAGCTTACTTTTTCTCTCTCTCCCCCCATCCCCGTACCGGGGATCAAACTCAGGACCTTGTGCTTGTGAGGCAGGCAGTGGCACCACTGAGCCAAATCCCCAGCAAGGAATTAGCTTACTTCTTTAAGTACAGACAAGCCAAAAAAACACTATATTGAGCAGCTCAGCTTGGGCTTCTTTCTCCCTGTCAAACAGCTCACTTATTGTTCGGCAGTCCTCACTTTTGCATTATAATTAAACTTCTGCTTCACTTTACTTTCGTTTTTTTTGAGTTCCTCATTTCTCACCAGAGGGATCTTCAGTTTTGAGTCAGCCTCACCTCACCTTCTGCATTCTCCTAGCCTCCCAGACCTTGCCTGACACAACAAATTCATCCATTTATTCAACATTTAGTGAATATATAGTATGTGCCAGACAGATTCTGGTTACTGAGACAAAATCTCTGCCCTCATGAAGTATATATCCTAATGGTATTGTATATGGCAACACCATAAGGAAATAAAAACAAAAACAAAAATTGCTCAGGAAAATATCAGAGGGAATTTTTTCACCTCACTTTCAAAATTTCCTATAATAGTACATAGCTTTTATAATTTTTTTTTTTTTGTACTGGGGATCGAACTCGGGTCCTTGCGCTTGTGCAGCAGGAGGCGAAACCACTGAGCTAAATCCCCAGCCCTATAGCTTTTATAATTCAAACATCTCAAAAAATATAGAACTGCCAGGTGCAGTAGCTCATGCCTATAATCCCCACACTTTGGTAGGCTAAAGCAGGATTATAAATTCAGACCCTACCTGGGAAATTATCAAGACCCTATCTCAAAATTTTAAAAACTAAAAACAAAAAGGGCTGGAGATGTAATGCCTTGTTGAAGACCCTGGGTTCCATCCCCAGTACCACAAAGGGGAAAAAAAAAGTAAAACAAAGGTCAAAAATGTAAAACAAATGAAAGGAATTTTAACTTACCTTTTAAGGCTAGATAATTCCTTCTCCATCTTCTTACTTGTCTGAAACATTGGGAAAGACCAACGCACTAAGTTAAAATATACACAAATGAAAATCTCCTTTTGTAAAGGCTGTAAGCCCTCCTACATCATACCTTATTCATTTCCGCCCATGTCTGCAGAAATCCTTTAAATAGTTCATGGTTGTCATCTGCATTTTCAGGAATCATTTCTAAAGGCCCAGGAGGTAATAAAGGCTGTAATCAAAAATAAAAATTTTACAGTTTGTCTTTTATCCTAAAATATAAATGCAGGAAGGGTACTGTATTTATCTGTCTTTTCACTATTTTACTTTCAATACCAACAACCTATGATGTGGTGTTGAATAATAAAGTGTCAACAGGGCCAGGGATTTAGCACAGTGGTGCTGCTACCTGCCTCGCAAGCATAAGGTCCTGAGTTCAATCCCCAGTACCAAAAAATAATAATAATGTCAACAAATAATACCAACAAAAGATATCAAATGCAAACAAGGATGCAAAGAAAGAGGAACTTTCATACACTGTTGTTAAGAATATAAATTAGTATAGTCATTATGGGAAATAGGATGAAGAATCCTCAAAAAATTAGAAACACAACTACCATATCCAGCTGTCTCATTCCTGGGCTTATATTCATAGGAAATGATACCAGTATGTTGAAATGGTACCTGCACTCCCATGTTCACTATAGCACGATTCACAATAGCCAAGGTATAAGTGCAAGGACCCGAGTTCGATCCCGGTACCAAAAAACAAACAAAAAAACCCCCCACAAACACAATAGCCAAGGTACGTAATCAACCAAATGCTCAATAAACAAATGAATATGGAGGGCTGGGGATTTAGCTCAGTGGCACCATGCCTGCCTTGTAAGCACAAGGTCCTGAGTTCAATCCCCAGTACTGGGGAAAAAAAAAAATTAATGTGAAGAAAGGAAAATGTGTTGTATATACAATACTTCTACAGAAGGAAAAAAAACCCAGAAGGAAATTCTCTCCTTTGCAGCAACATGGATGAAACCAGAGGGCACTGTGTTAACTGAAATAAATCTCACACAGAAAGACAAATACTGCATCTTCCCATTTATATGTGGAATCTAAAGTTGATTTCAGAGAAGGAGCCTGGGAAGAGAGTGGAAGAGGAAGGGAAGGACACAGCATGGGTAATGGGTATAGGGTATAGCTGGATCCGTGGAGTAACTTCTTATGGTCTACAGCAACAAATGACAATAATTAACTGAATATTTCAAAACAGCCAGCAGAAAAGATTTTAATGTTCCCCACACAAAGAAATGTGTGTGAGGTGATAGATGAGTCAATTACCCTAAATCTGATCATCACACATTGTGTACATGTATTGAAACATCACGCTGTACCCGCTAAATATACACAGTAACCATGTCAGAAGGGCTGGAGATTTAGCTCAGTGGTTCCGCCGCCTGCCTCGAAAGTGCAAGGTCCCAAGGTTCGGTACCAAAAGAAAAAGACGTTGTGGTAAGTATTTCAGTTTAAATGTATGTTAATAAAAAATGCCATACGTACATATTTATACACATATATACATCCATACATATATATGTATATATATTGTCATTCTATGCCAAGACATTCTAAAGTACAGTTTACAAACTATTAAAGGGTTGTGAAATCCTTTTGTTACTAGGAATCAAACCCAGGGGCACTCTACCACTGAGCTACATCCTTGGCCCTTTCATGGTTTTTTTTTTTTTGAGACAGGGTTGCACTATGTATTTCAGCCTGACCTAGTAGACCAGGCTGGCCCCAAACTCATAGCAATCCTCCTGCCTCAGCCTCCCAGGTGCTGGGATTATAGGCATGAGCCAACACACATGGCACCCTAGCCCTTTTGATATTTTTGTGGGGAATAACTGAATTTTAATCTCAGCTCTGCCATTCATCATGTGATTATAAACTACTTATTTTTTAAATTTATTTTTATTAGTACATATTTGCCATAATGACATTCATCACAGAAAATTTGTACTTGTGCATAATGTCTTTTTGTCCCATAACCCTTCTCTCCCTTCAACCCTTCTTCCTCTCCCCATTTACAAAAGCTTTGTTTCTATTTTTCCTTCCATTCTTTTTTTAAATCCTTTTTCCCTTCTTTCCCTTACCCCTGCCCCCTCTCTTATTCCCTTTCCTATTTGAATGTGTTCTTCCTACTTCCCAATATCTATCCTTCATTTTGTTCCTTATTTACCCATTGGATTGTCTTTATGAGAATGGTTTTTTTTGTTTTTGTTTTTGGTACCAGGGATTTTATGAAAATGTTTTATGAGAAACAATCCAATATTTAAACTTCTGTGTCTGATTTATTTCATTTAACATCATGGTCTCCAGGTGCATCCATTCACCTAAAAATGACTCATGTATGCTTTATGGCAACGTAGTACTCCATTGTATATACATAACCACATTTTCTTTTTCCATTTATCTGCTGATGGGCATATGGGCTGTTTCCAAGATTTAGCTATTATGAATTGCACTGCTATAAACATGAGTATGCATATATCACTGAAGTATGATGCTTTTAACTCTTTCAAAAAGAAAAAAAATAAAATGTATTAGAAAGATACCTAAAAGGGGCACAGCTGGGTCAAATGGAATCTCTAGTTTTAGTTTTTTGAGGAATCTCCATACTGATTTCCATAGTGGTCATACCAATTTACACTCCCACCAGCAATGGAGAAGGGTTTTTTTTTCCCACACAGCCTTGCCAGCATTTGTTGTTGCTTGCTTTCTTGATGATAATCATTCTTTCTGGGCTGAGATGGACTCTCAATGTTGTTTTAATTCCATTTCTCAAATGGCCAGTGATGTTGAGCACTTTTTCATATATTTGCTATTTGTACTTCACTGAAGTGTCTATTCATTTCAGATGCTCATTTTTGAATTAGGTCTATAAATTTGATTTTTTTTAAGTTCTTTATATATTCTAGATTTTAGTCCTTTGTCTGAAGAGTAGCTGGTAAAAATTTTTTCCCATTCTGTGGGTTATTTCTTCACTCTACTGGTGGTTTCTTTCACTGTACATAATATTTTATTTTGAGACAGGGTCTCACTAAGTTGTCCACAGGACTCAAACTTGCAATCCTCCTGCCTCAGCCTCACAAGTGTTGGGATTACAGTATCCACCACACCTGGCTTATAAAATCATTGTAATACATATTTCATAACCAGCAATTTGTTTTTAGTGAATGAGAATAAGACAGAAAGAAACACTGGGCATGGTGGTACATGCCCATAATCCCAGCACTTGGGAGGTTGAGGCAAGAAGACTTCTGTGAATTTGAGGCCAGCCAGGGCTACATAGTGAGTTCAAAGCCAGTCTGAACTACATAACAAGACCCTCTCTCAAAAATCAAACCAAGGGCTAGGAATGTAGCTCAGAAGCACTGCACCTGCCTGCCAAGTGCAGGGTGCTAAGTTTGATCCCCCCGGGGGGGGGGGGGGGGCCTCAAAGCCGGGCGTGGTGGCACATGCCTGTAATCCCAGCACTCAGGAGGCTGAGGCAAGAGGATCTGAGGCAAGAGGATTGCTGAGAGCTCGAGGCCATCCTGGGGTAACTAGTGAGTTCAAGGCTAGTCTGAACTACATAATGAGACCTTGTCTCAAAAAACAAAACAAAAAGGGGATTTAGCTCAGTGGTTCCGCAGCCTGCCTCACAAGCACAAAGTCCCAAGTTCGATCCCCAGTACCATTTAAAAAAAAAAAAAAACTGGGGCTTAGAAAGGTTAAATAATTATTTACCTACAACCCCAGAACTTCAGAAAAAGAATCCAACCTAGGCTTTAAGACTGAAATCTTACTAAACCAAATAACATGCAAGTATTAAATTAATTAAATATAAAGCAAACAAGATTTAAATAATCTTTAGCTTCAAATACTTTAAATTTTTCAGCATTTTGTTAAGTTACTATATTTGATTTGCACTTTTTCTTACATTTTCATTTTCTACTAATATTGGTGCTGTTGGAGGTGCTGGTATTGAGATTTCTGAAGGATTGACTTTCAGCAATCGCATTGACCTTCTACATCCAATCTCATTTTCTCTCTTCTTAGGCTTCTTTCTAAAGTAGAGAAAAATTCATGTTATGCTGTACTGATAAAACATTAAAATGAATTTAACAATATTAAGGAGATAATGTCAAGGAATGGGCCCCACAGGTATAGTCACACATTGATGCACATACATTGATTACATTGATATATTTATGATTTTTTTTTTTTGGTAGCGGGGATCAAACTTGGGACCTTCTGCTTGCAAGGCAGGCGCCAGAACCACTGAGCTAAATCCCCAGCCCGATTAATTGATATATATATACATGGCCACATTCATTTTAATGAAAAAAATGTACAAAAAGCCAAACCTAAATGTTCAGCATGAAGAGACAAGAGACATTAAACAGATTATGGCATTATTATATAAGAGAATGCTATGCAGCCATAAAAAAGAAATATAGCCAGGCATGGTGGCATGCACCTATAATCCCAGCTCCTGGGTTTGATTTGAGAGAGAGATCGATCTACCACTGAGGTACAACTGCACATCTTTTTTTTATTCTGAGATCATCTCAATTGCCCAGGCTGGCCTCAAACTTGTGATTCTGCCTCAGCTTCCTGAGTAGCTGAGATTATTGGCATGTGCTACCATGTCCAAGCTGCTCCACATTCTCTGATGTAAATGAGAACTGTAAAGTTATTAAAAAATAGTGTTCCCTCAGAGATCCGATTGCAATGAAGATTAAATTACAGTTTATGATCTGCTACTAAGGTTCACTACACCAAACCAATTTTTAAAATTACAACACATGAGCCAGGGCTGGGGATTTAGCTCAGTGGTTTCGCCGCCTGCTGTGCAAGCGCAAGGACCTGAGTTTTATCCACGGTACCAAAAAAAAGTAAGGCAAATGAGCCAAATAAACCACTCTTCCTTTACAATACATAAAAAAAAATTAAACTATAAAACAATCCAGCAAAATAGCATGACATAGCCAATGTAAACTAAACATTTACCTTTTGAATTTAGGAGGCTGTCTCTTCTTTATCATTTCACGGAGCCTTGCAGCTGACTGAAAAGTACACAGAAAATATATATATGTATGCTACCTTATAGCTACAGAGCTTACATTTTAAAATATTTTATTAACCTACTCACAGGAGGAGTAAGTAGTATCTTCATTTTAATTAGAAACTTCACACAAACCTCAGACAACTGAAGAGAAGCAAAAAACTTCGCATTTTCTGATATGTTCTTCAGTCTCTTCTTTTCATAATGTGACAGTCCTGAAAAATCATCCTGTAAAATTATATCAAAGAGATTCCATTACTTTACATAATACACAGCAAACACACCTCACAAAACTAGGTGTTTCATTCTCTGTATGTATCCACTCCTTCAAATTACACCCCTTTCATTCATTTCATGTGATCTTACTCGGCAGCAGCCATCTATCTGTGCTGCACTGGATAGTGAGAGTCTACACTGGGGATAATCACTAGATATGTATATGGCTCCCCAATTATAAGAAGTGGTTCATTATCAGGAGTCACATGGTGGAACCTTATATCTAATTTTTTCCTCATGGCCACTGATTATACTATTATTCAAAAGTTCTGTTTTTACTAAACAAAAATATTTCCACCAATGTGGTGGTACATGCCTGTAATCCCAGCACTCTGGGAGACCAATGCAGGAAGATCACAAGTTCAAGCCCAGCCTGGGTGACTCAGTGAAACCCTGTCTCAAAATAAAAACTAGAAAACAGCAGGGGATGTAGCTCAGTGTGAAGGCCTTTGGCTCAACTCACAGCACTGAAATTAAACAAAAGAGGACAAATAAATTTGTCACTACTTCCTGCTAACATAACACTAAATTAATTTGAAATATCCTCAGAAATATGAGGAAACAGCATGCCACAGTTTGAACTTGTCCCCCTACTCTGTCTTTAGAAATTTAATCCCCAAATTCATGTTCATGGTATTTGGATGAACAACCTTTGGGAAGTGAATAGAGCTCAACCCTCTTGGTAGTCCTCGTTTAACAACCAAGTTTTGTTCCTGCAACTAAGTCAAGTAAATTGGTCTCTAAAGGAGGAATCATATATAGTATGTACATTACAATATTCAGGACAAAGAAATGGCCAAAGGAAACTCCAACTTGATGACTTTGCTTTTGTTTGTATAACTTACATGCAGTATTGTAATGTACAACTGAACATAAAACTATAGTGCTGTACTATACGGTACAATCAGCAAAAATTATAGTACTGTATAAATAAGGTATACTGTGCAAAAAAAAGACACTGAGGCTCTATAAACAAGATGTACAAGGACTGTACCAAAAAGAAAAAACACAGGTCATAAGCCTGAACAGCCATTGACCAGGTAGATCAATAAGTGAGGAAGATCGGTAATCCAGTCATAGATCAACAGGACAATGGGTTCTCAAGTGGGTAACTGTCATAAACTTGCACACACTCTCTCTGGCATACGTGCTCTGCCTTGCCATGTGACAATGCACTAGGAAAACCCTCACTGTATGCTAAGCAAAGGCCAGTGCTGAGCTGTTGCATTCCCAGACCATGAGCTAAATAAACTTCTCCTCTTTATAAATTACTTAAGATGTCATATCACATACAGTACTATGGTATCCTTCCCGGTAATGCAAAACCTTAGCCTAATCATGAGAAAGTAACAAACCCAAAAATAAAAGACATTATCCAAAATAACTGTGTAGTATTCTTCAGATCTAACACAGACTGAGAGACTATGGAGATCGATCCAGGTAGCAGAACAGAAAAATAATAACTGGAAAATTTGGTGAAGTCCTAATAAGTCCTATATTTCCATTATCAGTTAATTTCTTCATTTGACAAATATGCTACGGTTATGCAAGATATTAACCAAAGGGCGGGCTGGGTGAAAAATATACAGGAATTGTTATTTTATTTTTCCACCTCTTCTATAAACCTAAAATCAACTCAAAATCTTAGAAAAAAACAAAACAAAAAAATCAGCTGCCATCCCCACATAATGATATATGCCTGTAATCCCAGCACTCTGGGAGGAGGATGAGGCAGGAAGATCGAAGTTCAAGTCTAGCCTGGACAATTTAGTCACTTAGCAAAATTGTCTAAAATAAAAAACAGCGGGCCGGGGATTTAGCTCAGTGGCGCTGTGCCTGCCTCACAAGTGCAAGGTCCTGGGTTTGATTCCCGGTACTAGAAAAAAAAAAATAGGTCATGCATGGTGGCACACGCCTGTAATCCTAACACTTGGGAGGCTAAAGCAGGACTGCCAGTTCAACCAGCCTGGGCTATATAGTAAGTTCAAGGCCAGTCTGAACTACACAGCGAGACCATGTCTCAAATATACAAAAAAATGAATCCCTCCAGGTAATCCAATAGGCTAAATTTTTTTTGGGGGGGGGGGTATTTTTAAAAGCTGATATAAAAATTGTATATATTTACCATGAACAACTTGATATTTTCAAATATATACACACTATGGTATGGCTAGTCAAGCTAATTAGCACATGCATAACCTTGCATAGTTAACATTCTTTGTGGCAAGAGTAATTATCTTCTTTCTCGGCAATTTTCAAATATGCAACACATGTTGATATTAACATATAGTTGCTATGTTGTACAACAAAGGAAACTGTATCCTTTGACCAACATTTTACCAATCTCTATTCCTTCTCCATCCCAGTCCCTGGTAACCTACTATTCTATTCAGCTTCTTTGCGTTCAACTTTAGATTCCATATATATGTGAGATTGCATGGTATTTATCTTTCTGTGCTTGATGTATTTCGTTTAGCTTCATGGCCTCCAGGTTCAATCTTCTGTTGATTATTTATTTAGATGTTTCATCTTGCTGTGTATTCAGATTTTTTTGGTGGAAACGTTGGTACTCTGCCACTGAGCTATGGGCCAGGTCACCCTATTTTCTTTTAAGACAGTGTCTTGTTAAGTTGCCCAGGTACTTGTGATCCTCCTGATTCCATCTCCCAAAGTGCTGGGATTACAGGCATGCACCAGCACACCAAGCTGGGAATTTAACTCTAATCCCTTCACATAATTGATAGGGTCCAGCCCAAATTCTACCAAAATAATAATAACCAAGCTTTTAGATTTCTGAGCAGGTTTTTTTCCCCCACTACAATAGCCCTGACTATAGCTAATTGTTCTTGAAGTGTAGTTTGCTTTGTCTTTGTTGTTGTTATCCTTTGGAAATTCCTTTTGCTAAAGAAACATGAGCGCAGCATTGCCTGATCCACTGAACTGGCTGCTTCCCTTGTCGTTGGTCCGGTTTTCCCACTATTAACAGGTGGGGAAAACCTCGCACTCAAGTCCAGCAGGTCGCTCAGCTCTTTGTCGGTCCATATAGCGGCCATGCGCTGTTGAGGGGGGTTCATCTTCGGCCCCTTCTCGCAGGTCCAGCCTCCGGCGAAAGTTCCCTCGGGCCGCGCGCAAGACGACTCAAACGCCGCCTTCCTCCCGGCAGGCTGCGGTGCCCCCACAGAACTTCTGGGTTTCCTCAGCCGGACATTTTTTTCGCTGAGGGGTCTCAGCACCGCGCTCCGTTGTTCATCCCAGATCCCTCCGCGGCCGCGCTCGGTTAACCCCAGCGTGCCCGGCGCCCCGATGGTCTAAATTTTCAGAGTGGCTAATCCTATCCAATCTTCTCGATGAGTACAAGAGGAACAGGTTTACTACGAGTGCCCATGCCTAGAAACTAGGCATCCAACCCTTGATCTAAGGCACTTATGACTGACCCAATGCTCTCTTCCATTGGTCCTGGTTCTTACTTCTAGGACAATAAAGCAAAAATCAAATTCCTATTTCATAACAACTTTTCTATTAACATACCTCCCTTTCCCTAACTTTATTTTGTTTCCTTAGTTTCATCACTTTGGGGTGGGGGGGGGGGGGGTGCCAGAATCGAACTCCGGTCCTTGCGCTTGCACAGCAGACGACGAAACCACTGAGCTAAATCCCCGGCCCTCCATCAACTTTTTGTCACATCGTATGATTTTATCTTGTCCTGTATAAAAGTTGTCACAATATTCCTGGAAGCCTGTAGAAGCCAAAAGAATTAGATACCAGCTGAGCCTGGTGGGCCATACTGTAATGCAAGCACTCTTCAAGGTTAAAGCAGGAGGATCACAAGTTTGAGCCCAGCCTGGGCAACTTAACAAGACCCTGTTTCAAAATAAAAATTAAAAAATAGAAAGGGACTGGGATTGTGGCTCAGTACAAAGGCCTTAAGCTCAATACCCAGTATCACAAAAAATAAAAAAATAAAAAAATTAATTTATGTGATAAAATACTTTCATTCCACTAGAGACTCTTGACAAATCTCAAAACAATAAGAAAACTTGGAACAAACTACTAATTAAACTCTTACCATGCCTGGTGTGTTGTCTTCATCGCTGCTCTCCAAGTCAGCACTCAGAACGGTAGCAGCTGAAGGACTCTTGTGTCCTGACTTGTTGCTTTCAGTATGAACATCTAAGGACAATTTTTGCAGAGTGGATTCTGCCTTAGAAGGGATGGCTTTCATCTTTGGAGTTAAAATTTCTTCACAAGTTTTCTTTAGTTCACTCTTCTGACATACCATCGTGTAGTTGGAATTCTTTTCTGATAGAGATTTGGAGTGCTTGGGTTGCTCTAGCTTGTAATCACTGAGTGAGAAGGGGGTAAGATAAACCTTAGCTGTTTTTCCTAAAACTGTAGTTTGTACTGGTCTCAGAGATGCATAAGTGACATCTTGATTTTCTTTAAATTCATTCACCTATTCAGGTCAATAAAGGAAAACAGCATTAGAATCCCAGGTCCAAATCCTTTTCCATAGGGTCCTTAACGGGCCTGTGTAAACAAATTAACTCCTGTTTCCTACTGACATCAATCAAGTGGATGGTCTGTAAGGAAACCTTTCCCCTCCCAAACCTAGATGCATCACTTATTAACCGGAATGAAATCACTGATTCTACTGGGCACACCGATTGCCCAGGTGGACCTGCCAAATCTATAGTAATAATGACTAGCACCGGGCAGGGCCTGGTAGTGCAGCACACTGGGAGGCTGAAGCCCGGACTAGGCGACTCAGGGACTTAGTGAGACCTTGTCTCAAAATTTAAAGTAAATAAAAAAACGCGCTGGGATGTAGCTCAAGGTGAAGGCCCTGGGTTCAATCCCCAGTACCAAAAAAAAAAACAGACCTAGCCTTAGAAGGTGACTGGCTGGAGAAGGGAGGGCCCAGTGGGAACCGACCGCTATCTCTGGCGTTAGGGAGAGCCAGCCTCCGCGCTGAGGGCCTCATTTTCTGTGGACAACAGCGCGGGCCTCGCAGAAACCTCCCGAGGACGAGACGCAGCCGCCTCACCTGCGCCTCGGCCCGCACCCCGGAGCCCGCCTCCCCTTCGCAGTCCGCACCAGGCCGCGACATCTCCCCGCCAGGGACTGCCGGGTCTTCCCGCCAAGAGTGCGCGGGGGCCGGCGGGAGAGGGCGGGGCGACTCCGCGTGGGCGGGGCGGGCGAGGTCCACGCCTGGGGGAGGGGCGTGGCCTAATCCGCTGCCCGAGTGAATCAAGTGGCTGGCGACAGCTGTACGGGGTCTTGCTCCGACACACTGACGCGTGCTTGTAAGGAGAAAACCGCCGTGCAGTGTAACCCCGGAAAAGACTGAAGACACAGCTGCTGATGGGAGAAGGAAATCAGCCAACATGCACTTCACCCGCCCAACCCCCGGAGAAGCACGTCCCGTGACCACCGGGCTACCTTCTGAGGCAGGGGCCATGTTGGCTGAGTTTCGATTTTTCTTTTGCGATACTCGGGATTGAACCCAGGGCACTGACCTACATCCTCACACCTTTTTTTTTTTTGGTACCTGGGATCGAACTCTGGATCTTGCGCTTGCGAGGCAGGCGGCGGCACCACTGAGCCAAATCCCCGGCCCACACTTTTTTATTTTTTGAGACAGGGTCTCACTAAGTAGTTAAATTGCCCAGGCTAGACTTGAATTTGCAGTTTTCCTACCTCAGCCTCCCAGGTACTGGGAGTACAGGAAGGTGCCACCAGGCCGGGCTAACAAGTACTATCTAGTCTCTCTAGCTTCCTTGATTCTAAATTGACTCCCCTTTAAACCTTGCTTGAGACCTACCAATTTCATTTCTTGGCGGGGGGGGGGGGGAACAGTTTTGGAATTAAGGTTAAATTAATTAATTTGATAATATTAGTAGCACCTTGAAGGCCTTCCAGGACCTGGTACCCATGGAACTTCCTCGACTTAAAAAATTACTCATCGATGGGTGCGGTGATGCACACCTGTAATCCCAGCACTCAAGAGGCTGATTGCCGTGAGTTCGAGGCAAGCCTGGGTTACATAGTTCAAGACCAGCCTGAACTAACAGCAAGACCCTTTCTCAAAAAACTTTAATAATAATAATAAATTACTAATTAAACATTTTGCGTAGAGGGGCCGGGGATTTAGCTCAGTGGTTTCGCCGCCTGCTGCGCAAGCGCATGGACCCGAGTTCGATCACCGGTACCAAAAAAAAAAAAACCAAACAAACAAACAGTTTGCGTAGGGCCGGGGATTTACCTCAGTAGTGGTGCCGCCGCCGCCTGCCTCGCAAGCGCAAGGTCCTGAGTTCGATCCCTGGTATCACAAAAGTAAAAACATTTTGCATATTATCCCATATATACTATACTGTTTCCGGCCTTCAAGACTTGTCATGGCTAGCCCTTCTCCCCCCTACCACACAGTACTTACACAGTTCTTTCTAGCTGAGTGTGGTGGCATACACCTGTTCAAGGCCAGCCTGTAATACAAAGTGACACTTTGTCTCGGAAAAAAAAAAGTCATTTCTATAATCAAGTATGTTTTGACTTCTATTTCACCAATTTCTTCACACAACCCAGGTATAAGTTGGGGCTGCTCCTGCTATTCGACAAGTTCTTGACGACTTCAAATTCAAATTTCTTGAGCCAAAACAATACATCTCCATAATCCTTTTGGAGCCCTAAAAACAGTAAACACAAGTACTCAGTCATTAAGAAACTAAATACACTTTACAACCATGAATGCATTTTAAATTTTTTTTTTTTTTTTTTTTTTAGTACCAGAGCTCTAACTCGGGGGCCTTGTGCCTGCAAGGCAGGCGGCGGCACCACTGAGCTAAATCCCCGGCCCCCGTTAATGCATTTTAATAGGTAGCTTCCAGATAATGAAAGAACATGAAAGTTGAAAGTTGGATGCTAGGCCCACCGTGTTCTCTGTGGTACGTGGCCCACCCTCACGCTGTAGGATGTAACTTTTTTCCTACTCCCCCTCCACACGCCCCGCCCAGGTACTGGGATCGAACTCAAGATCTTGCGCTTGCAAGGCAGGAGCGGTGCCAGTGAGCTAAGCCTCCAGCCCTTCTTTTCCTACTTTTACTTGGCCAAAATTTGCTCTACAGCGCCTGTTTCTTTTCCTCAATAAATATAAAACTTTTCTATCATTTAAAAAAAAAAAAAAACGAGGGCCAGGGATTTAGTTCAGCAGCACTGCGCATGCCTTACAAGCGCACGGTCCTGAGTTCAATACCCGGTACCACTAAAAAAAAAAGGGAATGGGGGGGGTATCCCTGGTTTAAATCACAACCACCTGCCCTCCTTGGGCAACTACCAAATGCCACAACCCAGCTCACAGCAGCCTCATCAAATGAACTAATTAAGAAGGTTTTTTTGTTTTCTGAATTGTTTTGCATGTTTTTTTGTTGTTGTTGTTTGGTACCAGGAATCGAACTCAGGACCCTGAGCTTGCAAGGCAGGCGCCGGAACCACTGAACTAAATCCCCGGCCGTTTTCTGGGAATGTTTTGTTTTGTTTTTGAGAAAGGGTCTTGCTTTGTAGCCCAGGCTGGCCTCGAACTCACAGCAATTCTCTTCCCTCAGCCTCCCTAGTGCTGGGATTACAGGCATACGCCAGCACGCTCGGCCCAGGAAGATTTTTTTTTTCCGGTACCGGGGATCAAACTCAGGACCTTGTGCTTGGCAGGCAGGTACGGTGCCACTGAGCTAAATCCCTGGACCCCCTAGGAAGAATTTTTTTTTTCTTGGTACCAGGGACCTAGGAAGAATTTCATTCCATCAAATCCTGAGCTTTCAACAGTCTGGACAAACAGTCCCTCACTACTTCCTCAGGTGTTTGTTTTGTTTTGTTTTTACTGTTGTTTTTATAGTATTGGGGATTAAATCCGGGACCTCACACATGAAAGTGTTATAGCACTGAGCCAGGTCCCCCTCCCTTTTTTATTATTTTTAAATTTTGAGACAGCATTGCCATAAATTGTTCAGACCGGCAGAGAATTTGTGATCCGCCTGCCTCATTCAGCCTCCCCAGTAATTGAGATTACAGGCATGCATCTGCCTCTCCTTAGTTTTGCTGTTTTCTTTTGCTTTGCTTCAGTACTGAGATTAGAAATCGGGAAGGCTGAGGTACATCTCCAGCCACCCCCCCCCACCCCCACCCCCCCGTACCGGGGATCGAACTCAGGACCTTGAGCTTGCGAGGCAGGCGCGAGAACCACTGAGCTAAATCCCCGGCCCAGCCTTTTTTATTTTTAATTTTGAGACAGGATCTCACTAAGTTGCTGAGGCGGGACTGAATTTGATTGTCCTGTTTTAGGACACCCGGAGTGTTGTGATTATACAGGCCTGCGCCACCACGTCCGATTTAACATGTGAAATCTTTTCATTTGAACCCTAGTTGCCTCAAAGCCTGGCAATGTCCCACCAGCGAGACAGGACGCGAAGGCCCCAGAGAACACCAACAACAGAGCCGACCTTACCGTAGCCCAGTGCGAAAGTCCTCCGACGTCCCACAATCCTCTAGTCACGTACTTCCGGCTTCTCTAGCTCTGCCCTACGTGGTTTCTATCCGTCGCGCAGCGGTGTCCGGCGCACCTACGGGGGAGGAGTTTTTCATTTTCCTAGGTGTTCAGCGTTTGGAATCCATCAAGTTAAGAGACTCGTCGCCGCTGCCGTCAACATGTCTGTCCCAAGCTCACTCATGAAGCAACCTCCCATTCAGTCTACGGCCGGAGCCGTCCCGGTCCGCAATGAGAAAGGTAGTGTTCACCCCTGGTCCAGGCAGATCTTCCCTCCTCCGCCTCGGAACTCCCCACCTTCCCTGCGTGCTGCTCCAACCCCGCCACTCCGAGACATACCTTCAGTTCCCTATGCCTTCCCATCCGGAGCTTCTCCCGGAGGGGGCACCTGCTTGCATCTGATCGTGTTCCTGGGGCCTGTCTGCTCTTATATACAGCAAGCACCCCTCTTTCCTTGACCTCTACAAATTCCTTAGACAAGTATAAATAAGCCTGTTTGCAGGGCGCTGTGCGGGATGCAGCTCTTTTTTTGTTATCCGTAGCAGTCTGTGCTGCTTTCATAACTCTTAACGCTCTTGTACAGTACTTATATGTTTATCTCCAACTACTAGATCAATAAGTTCTTGCTCTCCATGAGGCGGGCACCATGTCTTCAACTTTTTATCCTTTTCAAACAGCACAGTGGCCGTTTATTAAATTGGATACAGACTTGTTTAAGGCAGTGCCTCAATTTTTTAAAAAATTCATATTCTAGTGGGTGTAAGACATGCAGAAAGAGGCCCATCCCAAGCAAAGAAGAGATGATTGCCTCAGATTGGGGTAATCAAGGAAAACTTCTTAAAGAAAGTGGCATATAATTTGATCCCCAAAGGGCAGGAGAGATTTCAGTGAGTGCAGACGGAACATACCTGTTTAAGAAGTCAGATCAAAGCCGGGAATGGTGGCGCACACCTGTATTCCCAGCACGTGAGACTGGGGCAGGAGGATTGCCTATAGTTGAGACCAGCCTGAATTACAGAATTACCGAGGGAGGCCCTGTCTCAACAAGAAAAGTCAGATCAAGAGTTTTTTCAGTAAGGATGATGGAAGAAAATAGCAATGATTTTTCTTTTTTTTCAATATACTGTATCTGTCCTTATTAGTTTGCCCTTTTTTGGTTTGGTTTGGTTTTTTTTCTTTAGGCGCTGGAAGATGTAACCCAGAGCCTCCTGAGACAAAGTGCTTTACCGCTGAGCTACACCCCAGCTCTTCCTTTTTTTTTTTTTACTCAACATGACTTCTGAGAATTATTGTTTGGATGCATATCGATCTAATTCATTAATTTTAACTGCCTATAAACTTATGAATTTCATTGTTTAATTAAACTACAGTATAGTTTATTCCCTATTGATGGGCAGTTGTTCCTGTGTTGTTTTTCACCTGTTACAGAAGTACTGCAATTTTCCTTTTTTTTTTTTTTTTTTTTTTAGGTACTAGGGATTGAATCTGGGGCCTTCACCCTGAGCTGCATCCCCCTCCCATTTTTTATTTTGAGACAGGGTCTCTTTAATTTGCCCAGGTTGGGATCAAACTTGCAATCCTGTCTCAAGCTCCTAGTGTGCCACATTTAAATGTGTCTGGTCAGTGCACTTGTGTGAGAATTTTTTAAGGGGAGACTTAAGTTCATAAACTTTTCTGTTACTAGTTGCTTTCCAAAGTAAGTTGTAAGAGGATAAGGGTTTCTATTTCCAATATATTCACTCATACAGTTGTTTGTATCAGATTTGTAAATGTTTGCACAATCTAAGAGGTATGAAATGTTAGGCCGTTTTTTAATTTGTGCTTCCCTAATTACTAGTGATATAGGGATCTTCATGTGTTTATATATTTCAAATCTGTAATATCCCCCCCCCCCATTTTTTGGCTTATCTTTAACTTTCTTTTTTAATGGTGGCAAAGTTTTATTAAAGGTAGGAAAAGAAATGGACTCTGCAGAGTAAGTTTGGGCCAAATAAAAGTAGGAAAAGGAGCACACCCTACAGTGTGAGGGTGGGCCACTGCAAGAGGGAACATAGTGAATTTTAATTATTGAAGTCTTCTGCTACACATTTTAGTTATAGTGTCATCAGATTTACCAGCTTTGTCTTGTATGGTTCACAGGTATGAAATCATAGGTAGTCAGGTTTAAAAGATTTTTCCGTCTTCTTTTTTTTTTTGTACCGGGGATCGAACTGGGGTCCTTGCGCTTATGCAGCAGGCGGTGAAACCACTGAGCTAAATCCCCAGCCCTCCGTCTTCTAATTGGTATATATTAAATAGGATTGAACACACAAATAAGATAGACTGCAAATTGAAAAGTTTACAGTCTAATAGGAAATATAAATATTTAAGACGTATTTTTCACCTTTAGCCTTTAATCAATCTAGAATTATTTCTTCTATATGGTGGAAGTTAGAGGTCTAATTTGACTACTTACTATATTGTTCATCAATTGTCTCGCCTCTGTTGATTGATGTCCCCCCCACACTGAGGATCGGCGCCACTGAGCTACATCCCCAGTCCTGTTTATTTTTTTAAGAATCAGCCTGGCCCTGAACGCCTGGGCTCAAGCAATACTCCTTCCTCAGCCTACCAGCCCAGACCACAGCACCCAGCTCCCACTGCTTGTAAAACAGAATGCTTTCATTTTTTATCACTAATACAGGTTGAACACCCAGTCCTAAAATCCAAAATTAGCTCCAACGTGATGTTCATAAAGATTCCGATTTGCGATTTTCTGATTAGGGATGCTTAACTGATAAAGTCAATGCAAATATTCCAAAATTTAAAAAAAAAACAAAAAACCTCCAAAGCCTGAGATACTTGTGGTCCCAGGTAAGCATTTTGGATATGAAATAGTCAGCCTACATAATATTTGCCACCAGGTGAGGTAGTGCACTCTTGTAATCCCAGCACTCAAGAGGCTAAAGCAGGAGGATCACCATGAGTTTGAGGCCAACCTGGGCTTGTCTCAAAAAATAGTAAATTTTTTTTTTTTTTTTTTTTGCTATATCTATTGTTAAGATTATATGACTTTGGGGGGTGGGGTTACTGGGGATCAAATTCTCAGGACTGTGTGCTTGCAAGGCCCACCTGGTGCCACTGAGCTTAATCCCCGGCCCCATGACTTGTTTTGTTTTGTTTTGTTTTTACCGGGGATCGAACTCAGGTCCTTGAGCTTGCAAGGCAGACGGTGGAACCACTGAGCTAAATCCCCAGCCCTAAACAATTTTTTTTTTTTGGTACTGGGAATCAAACTCAGGTCCTTGCGCTTGTGCAACAGGCAGCGAAACGACTGAGCTAAATCCCTGGCTGAGGAATAACTTTTTAAAATAGCATATTGCTCCTGCGCTGCCTGTCAATTTTCTATTCTTGAAATCCTGGGTTTAATCTTGTAAGATTGTGATAATTGGGTTTTGTGTGTGTGTGTTTGTTTTCAGGATTTGGGATTAGTTTTCATGTTAATTTTTGCATTGCTGAGATAAATTTGCTATTCTTCAGTATTTTTGTATATATGCTCATAAGTGAAATCCACCCAAAGGTTTCCTTTGAACTATCCATTTTGGTTATAAGTTTTTTGGGGTTTTTGGGGGGATTTTTTGTTTTTTGGTACTGGGGATCGAACTTGGGTCCTTGTGCTTGTGAGGCAAGCAGTGGAACCACTGAGCTAAATCCCCGGCCCTGGTTATAAGTTTACTCATCCTTTAAAATGAGTTGGTGAATCTTTACTCTCTATTCACTGCATTTCTTTTTTCTTTCTTTCTTTTTTTTTTTCTCCTTTGGTAGTACTAGAGATTGAACTCAGGGCTTTTACACTGAGCTACAACCCCAGCCGTCTTTTGAATTTTTAAATTTTGTGACAGGATCTCACTAAGTCTCTTAAGTTGCAGGGCTTGAACTTTTTTCTTTTTGAACTTTTTTTTTTCTGAGACAGAATCTCACTATGTAGCCCAGGCTGGCCTCGAACTCACAGCATTCTCCTGCCTCCGTCTTCCAGAGTGCTGGGATTACAAGTGTGCACCACCACATCCAACTTAGAATTGTTTGTATTTGTAAAAGAGGTAATCTATTCTTGCAGATTTGATAACACAAAAGCTGAAGAAAAAGAAACCTATTTCTATATAAATGAGCTATATGATAACATAAAGGCTGCCATGGAAATTACAAATGGAAGTAAAAGAACAACTGGGCACTTCTTTAGATTAAATCACTCTTTCAATATGCTGTTAAAAATTGTTGCAAGGCAGGCACTGAGCTAAATCTCTAACCCCTAAGAGCTTTTTTGACAATTTCACTGCTCATCTCCCTCCACTTCGTCATACGAAAGGTAAGCCTCGGTGTCTTTATTGTTGCTGTTCACAAGAATGCCTCCCAGGCCCTGGCCTTTGTAGGAAAGCTCATTAGATAGAGAGGTGGTTGGATAATGCTCTCTTCTCCTACTTCACCACCTGTCTACCAGGAATACAGACCCTGCCTGCAGAGGCCAAGGATTGAAAGACTGTGGGAAAGAGGCTACTGAAACATAAGAAATTATCTTTCTTGCCCAGGTGAGATTTCAATGGAGAAAGTGAAGGTAAAACGTTATGTGTCTGGAAAGAGGCCAGATTATGCGCCTATGGAGTCATCAGATGAGGAAGATGAAGAATTTCAGTTCATTAAGAAAGCCAAAGAACAAGAAGCAGAGCCTGAAGAGCAAGAGGAGGATTCATCTAGTGATCCCCGGCTGCGGCGTTTACAGAATCGGATTAGCGAAGATGTAGAGGAGAGGTAATGACTACAGTTATGTTTCCCTGGACCTGAATGTCTGCAGATTAATTAACAACAGCAGCAGCAATAATAGTAGACACCTTAACAGTGCTCACTGTGTGCCAAGTACATGGTTCTAAGTACATTTACTATTTCTTGTGCACACAACACACTTATAAAATAGGTACTACTGTTCCCACTTTACAAATGAGGAAACCAAGGTATAAAGGGTAAGAAAAGTAGCATGACTTAGAGAGACCCTTAGAGAGGTCTGGGGATGTAGTTCTATGCAAAGGCCCTCGGTTCGGTCCCTAGAACCACCAAAAAAATCCCTCTATAGGATGGGGATATAGCTCAGTGGTAATGTTTCCCTAGTATGCAGAAAGCTCTGGGTTCCATCCCTGTGTCCCTGCCCTCTGTGTTCGCTGTGTACCCTTAGATGGTGCCTGCGCATTTGTTTGATGTTTTAGAATTAATTTAACCACTTTCTCTGA